CGCGTAAAAATAATAAAACACCACTGTTACTGAAATTTCAAAGCTCTGGCTTGAAGGCGCCCTATGTTCCACTGGGAACGTAAAGGAATTAAAAAAATATGTCGGTATTAGATGGTTGGAGGCAATCGGCAGGAAGCCTTGGATCTAGGTTTCGTGCTAGTTGGCACTCATCAGCAAGGCGTATCTGCAATCTTGAAGGAACTGATGTCCCTTCTGAGATTCGAACCCGCGTCACCCAGTGCTGCAGTCAGAGACTTTACCACTGAGCTATTCAGGCTCGCAACTGACCTCCTGTAGGACCGTATTGGATTGGGTTCGAATCTCAAAAGGGACATCAGTTCCTTCAAGGTTGCAGATACGCCTTGCTGATGAGTGCCAACTAGCACGCAACCTAGGTTCAAGGCTTCCTGCCGATTGCCTCCAAGCATCTAATACCAACAATTCACAGTACACCGTAATGGCGAGCCACCTAGCATGGTGGCCACATTGCAAACATGACTGATAGAATTCAGTCTGCACCGAAGATAGGACTAGACACATTACCCCGACCGAAAGCTGCTACCTTGACGTGGTGGTCGGGCTTGAACACTGCAATGACCCAACAAGCTATACTGGCTGGAACTTATGTTCCTGCAGGTCCTACCATGCCAGAAAGGTTGCTTGGATAGCAGTTAGACTAAAAGCAGTTACCCAATCCAATCCTATGATTTCAAATACATCACAAAATATCATGCCGGATCGGTCGGGGCCCGGATTAACAACGACCGCGCTTTCTGCTGCCGTGTCACAGGGCAGAAGTGATAAATACGCTACTGAGACACACCAAATAAAAAAGAACAAACAAAAACAGGCCGTGTGTGACCGGCCTCAAGCAGTTGTCCCCTGGGCTCTGCGGTCACGCAACCAACTTCCACGGTGTGGGCAGCCGGGAAGTAACAACCGCCCTCACAATCCGAAGTGCACGCGAAACCCCTCTAATCCTCACTCATCTTTGTCTTCATCTTCATCTCTATTATCTTGCCTTCCTTCTACCAATGCAACTCCTCTACTTGATGGCTCTTCACTTCCTCTTCAATCTGTGTGCACTGACAACGATGGAAGCCAAAAAGCCACCATCGATGGTCTCCTAAAACCACGCCACCAATTTTATATAGGAGCATTTAATGTTAGGACACTTTGCCAAATAGGACAACAAGCATCACTAGCCAAGACTCTGGCATCCCGAGCCATTGATGTATGTTGTGTTTCAGAAACACGCATACAAGACCCAAGTGTGGTTATTCACCTAACCCCACCTGGCCAACAGGATGAATCTGCAAAATTCACCTTGAGGGTGTCAGGAGATGCGACGGCTAGCTCACGAGGATTAGCTAGTGTTGGGATAGCTTTAAGTACTAGAGCAGAAAAGACATTACTTGACTGGATCCCGGTAGATAGCCGAATGTGCGCTGTCCGCCTGAACGGATCAGTGAAAAGGAGAAAGGACTGCACTACTCGCCGATGCCTTTTCGTGATCTCCGCCTACGCCCCCACTGACTGCAGTTCGGATGAAACGAAGGATGAGTTCTACCAAAAGCTGTCTAGTTTGCTGCGAAAGGCTAGACGCTCAGATATAGTCGTTATAGCTGGTGACTTTAATGCTCAAGTAGGGAAATTGTGTCAATCTGAGAAGAATGTCGGTGGCACATACGGAATTCCGTGCCAGCGAACCGACAACGGTGACCGTCTCCTACAGTTCTGTTCAGATAATCATTTGTATCTTGTAAGCACTAACTTCAAACACAAGGAGAGACACTGCTTGACCTGGCGACCCCCATCATCAAATCAACGCTGGACACAAATAGACCACATAGCAATAAGCTATCGTTGGCGTGGGTCGGTAGGAGATTGTCGCTCCTTCTGGAACACGTGTGTAGATACCGATCATGCACTGGTCCGCGCTCGTGTGTGCTTACGACTGAACGGACGTAGGAAACAGCTGGCGGTAAACCCATCACGTCCCCAGCTCGACCAGGGAACTAAGTCCCTATTTGAGGAAGAACTAGCTAAACACATATCTGAGTTCGACAGCTGCGCTCACCCTGAAGAAGCCTGGAAAAATATTCAGTCAGCCATAGATACAGCTGTAAAAGCTGTGAATAAGGTAAATCCAAAGGTGAGTAAAAACCATTGGATTTCGACTGCCTCATCCGAACTGATAGATGCTAGAAGACTTATTCCGGCGAGCTCCGAATTCAATGAGGAGCGAAAGCTGCACAAAAGGAAACTTACGAAAAGTCTCCGCAAGGACCGTGAACAGTGGTGGTTGACAAAGGCGAAAGAGATGGAAAAAGCATCGGCGATAGGCAACACCAGACAACTATTCAGGCTTATCAGGGAAACAGGTAGTAAAAGGCAAATGATAAGCGAAACAATCTCCGAGAAAAATGGCACCATAATTAGCTCCCAGGATAGACGTCTGGAGCGCTGGAAAGAACACTATGAAGAGCAGTTTAATTGGCCCACAGCCACACTTAACCTGCCGGACATCCAACACCTCCCTGAATGGGAGATAGACACAGGTCCTCCGTCCTTAACTGAGGTTACTAAAGCTGTCACCAATCTGAAGCTAGGCAAAGCAGCGGGACCTGATTTATTGACTCCAGAGGTATTTAAGTACGGAGGAGACAGTTTACTGTCTGCGTTAACGGAGGTTCTAGGCAGCGTCTGGGAATCAGAGGAAGTCCCATCGGGTTGGTGTAAGTCACTGATCATCCCGATATACAAGAAGGGGGACAAGTCGTCTTGTGATAATCACAGAGGGATTAGCTTGACTAATATAGTATCTAAAATCCTAGGCTCAATAATACTGCGTAGACTAAGTGGTGCTCGGGAGACACAAACACGAGAAAACCAGGCAGGTTTTAGGCCAGGTAGAGGGTGTATTGATCACATCTTCACCCTTCGACAGATTCTAGAACATAGGCATTCCTACCGGCGTCCGACAATCATTATACTTCTTGACCTAAAGGCGGCTTTCGATTCTGTCGACCGGGAGGTTCTCTGGCGATGCCTGGCTGTAAAGGGAATGCCGAGAAAATACATTGCACTGATTAAGGCACTCTACTCATACTCATGCAGCCAGGTGAGGGCTTATGGCGAGTTGTCATCTGAAGTGGTGACGACTAGTGGCGTCCGTCAAGGTTGCCCATTATCCCCATTCCTATTCAATTTCATCATAGATGTACTAATGGATTTAACCCTATCACACTTCAGCGACTCAGGGATTGACTTGCTACCAGGGAATAATCTCGTTGACTTAGAATATGCGGACGATATAGTCCTTCTAGGCGAGGACTCTGACAAAATGCAGAGTCTACTGAACACCCTGAGCAACAATCTCCGTATGTTTGGCATGCGATTCGCCCCTGTAAAATGTAAGATGATGCTGCAGGATTGGACCTCATCGACCCCTAGATTAGAAATAGGAAGTGAAGTGGTAGAACACGTTGACCGCTTCAATTACTTGGGAAGTACCATCAGCCCCAACGGGTTGATCTCAGACGAAATTTCAGCACGAATACAGAGGGCTAGGTTCGCATTCGCCAGTTTTCGCCGTCTCTGGCGTAGACTCGATGTCCGACTATCGACCAAAGGGCGTGTGTACTGCTCAACAGTCCGCTCCGTCCTCCTTTATGGCTGTGAGACCTGGCCATTGAGAGCGGAAGACATGAAAAGATTAGCTGTCTTCGATCATAGGTGTCTGCGTTCTATCTCCCGTGTGAAGTGGTATAATAAGGTGAGCAATATTGAGGTTAGGCGTCGAGTGCTAGGTAAGGAGGGGAAATCAATCGACGAGGCTGTGAAATTATATCGACTGAGATGGTTAGGACATGTGTTACGTATGCCTAGTCATCGCCTTCCTCGACGGGCAATGTTAGCTGATATAGGGCCAGGCTGGAAAAGAGCTAGCGGCGGTCAAACGAAAACATGGCACCAATCAATGAAATCTACAACAGTTAATCTAAGCCACGTAGGAAGATGTAGACTTCCTGGTTGGGGTCCTCGGGACGGTAAAAACCAATGGTTGGAAACAATTGGTGACATGGCTCAAAATCGTTCTCAGTGGCGCAGATGCATCCACTCCTTGTGACTTATGATTTCCAATTAAACTGTTTTGTTCTCCGTTATTACTATTCCTTTGTCTCACACCTCTGTTTACTGTTTCCATTATACATTTCTTCTACTTCCTTCTCTTGCTTTGCGTGCTACATAGATTGTGGCGACTTGAACTGGCGCACATATGTGCAAAGTTCTATGTCGAAAACCGACCGACCGACCGACCTAGACACATTACACTAGTTACTGACTAGTGTGCAATCAAATATATATATATATATATATATATATAGATTTAGCGTATTTTCTTCAGTCCTGATAAATTGGAGGCAGTATTCCTTTCCAACGTGATCCACCGATCGATGGCTAGGGTTACATGCGTAACACATGTCCTAACCAACCCCCACCCCCCAATCAATGTAGCTTCACAGTCTCGTCGATTGATTTTCCCTCCCCCTTACCTAGCACTCTACCGATGCCTCACCTCAGTATTACTCACATTATTATATCACCTGCCAAAATTGTAGACAACAATTTACGTCAATGGTCACGTCCCGAATCAGGGTCATGAGAAAACAACGATAACCAAGCTTAACCATGAGGAACTCACCAACCAGTCACAGTGGAGTTAAAGTGTACAAATACGATTCGCAGATATACATGGCTTAACCTTGTAAGAAACGGTCGCAAGCAGTACAGAATAACCTTGACAGCAAGGAAACAACCAATCACAACAGGATGCTTCTCCGCTAACAATAACGCGAATAATAATGACTTACACAAAAATCTATAAATATCTCTTGATTTCCTCAATTGAAACGATCTGTTGCCTGGCCATTGTCTTCTGTCGTTACACTACAAATTCACCATCTCACGAATACTTTATTCTTACTTGTTTCTAGATCAATTAACAGAATATCAACGTTCATTGGTTTATATCACACCTGAAAGTACTTTGCTAGATGCTGTCCGTATGCTACTTAAGCATAAAGTACATCGTCTACCGGTGATTGATTCTGCCAGTGGGAATCCTTTACATATATTGACGCATAAACGTGTTCTTAAGTATCTACATATTCATGTAAGTCCTATAGATGTTATTTATTATTATTATTACTATTGTTATTGCTATATGGAGCTTTCTTCTGTTATTATTATTCTATTTGATGGCATATACTACTAAAAGGACTAATATAAGTAGTTGGAAACACCACTGAATTGCCGACTGTTACACTCGTTTAAGATCGAGTTTATCAGTGGTCTGGGGTCTTTTTGACGCAGTTCATGGACTCCAATCGCCTCAAACTGCTAGAGCCGACTGTATAGTTCATCAACTTTCAAAAACACTAGTTTATAGGATATTCGAATTCCGATACCCCTGACCCATATACAGTCTAACTGACTGGTTTCAACATAGAACTTAGCACGGATGTGCACCAACAGTCCGAGTTGCTACACTCTACACAAAGGAAGACAGAAGAGAATCAGTTATAAGCAGAAATGTGAGGGAGAAAGAATAGTAACTTGGTAAAACTGTAGAGTTTAATGGATACGGGAGATTGAAAAAACTGATTGCATTCTGAGTCTTTGAGAATGATTTTGAGTCATACCATTAACTGTCTCCAACCGTCATTGATTCCTACCATCTCGAGGACCCCAAACCAGTCAGGTAGGCTACACCTCCCTCCATGGCCTAAACTAAGTGTCATAGATTTCTTGGTTTGATGAAGCCACGTTTTGGTTTGACGACCATGTGTTAGCTCTTTAACAACCTGATCTTATGTAAGCGACTAACATTACCTGTCGATGAAGGCCACATACACCGGGTGAGGCTCGTTGTTCTGTACACGTAAATCTATGCGACAGCTGAGGCATTAGGTTGAGTTGTTATAATACCTCCTATGACTAGTTTAAATAAAAAAATTATTATTGTATTATTGTTGTTCCCTTGGGTTCCTAGTGGAACATAGGACTTCAACTACACGTCGCCACTTGCTTCTGTCTTCTGCTGTACTTTTACACCTGCATCCATGTTAGTCCATACTGTTCCAACTCCTCTTCACACGATCTCCTCCATGTCACCCTTGAACGTCCCACTCGCCGCTTCCCTTTCGGGTTCCACTCGAGCACTGGCCTGACGCACGATGTCACCCAGTGGCCTCCTCAGCGAGTGTCCAATCAATCTCCAATTTCTCCTGCATATTTGTTGAGCGATTGGTTCTTGTTTTGTTTGTTCCCATAGTTTCTTGTTGGTGATTCTTTCCGGCCATCTATCTGATCTTCAGTATAGAGCGAAGACAGTTGTTGATAAAGGTCTGCAACAGGCCGTTGGAAATATTCTTGGTGACCCGCCAAGTTTCTCATCCGTATAGAAGAACTGAGTGACTTCACGTTTGTATTGAAAATCCGAATTTCGTTGTTGATGCTGAGTTGACTGACGAAGATTTCCAGATTGGTTTCAGGTTGATGAATGTGTTTCTCGCCTTCCCGATTCTCGTCTCGATTTGACATCCTCGTCCGTTCCTCCTGTAGTTGAGACAATGCTCCCTAGATAAGTGAATGAAGTAATCTCTTTCAAATTCCTGCCGTTGATGGTGATTGGTGCTGGATGTTGCTGATATTGTTGTTGTTGTTGGTTGGTTATTTTCATAACCTCCGTCTTATCTGTGTTCACCTGGAGTCCTGTCTTTGCTGTTTCTTCGACCAGTTTATCGGTTTTCGCTTGTAAGTCTTCGATTTTTTGTGACGTCAAACATAAATCATCCGCGAAATCCAGGTCTTCTAGGTTCTTCAAATAAAAAAAAACTATAATTTATATGTGTGGGTCAGTCAGACTAGCGGAGCAACACAAATACCAAGCAGCGAAATCTAGATTAGTTGACTCGAATAAGATAAGAAATCTAGAGAATAGTTCAGCTATACCACTCACTACATGGAATTGCAAACAAGACAGCCATGCAATAGGATGGATGGGATAAGATGACAGTTTTAAAATCTAATGTAACAGCAGGGTGAATGGAGGGAGAGATTGATAACAGAAGCTTTGTTTATTGAATCAACCGCATATAGGTGTATTGGGAATGATTCAACACCTATCCACTGGGACATCTGGAAAATTCTACTACTCCATTGATGAGAAACAGGAGGGAATGAAGAAAACTATAAAACTGAAGTTTCGAAGTCGTGTGGTTACAATTGTTGATATGATTTTGAACAATAAGTGAATTGTGTTCGAAACCTGGTCATGCAGTAAACACTTATACTGCTGTTTCACTGACTGTGTGATATTATCTAATAAACAAACTAATATGGAATTGCTTACTACCACCACAGTGCCCTAGTTCTACACACATATATTAACATTGGATTCCAGGTTGTTTTATGCCCAGAGTTCCCTGTGATGTGTTGGTGCTTGTCTTTTCTAGCCATCTAATGTCTTCAGTATCGAGCCAGTGAAAGCAGGTGTTGATGAAAGTCTGCAATAGATTAACCTGTTGGAATTACTTTCCGTAACGTTCATGCCAAGTCCCTAAAGCATATAAAAGCATTAACTTGACTTCTTAATGCTGAGTTCAATAGACTTCTGTACTAATTTCAGTTAAATAAAAGGTCTGTCTTACTTTTCTGGTTCTATATTTGACATCTTCATCCGTGCTACTGCCTGTAGTTGAAAAGATACTGTCTAGATAAGTGAGGGAAGTGACCTCTTCCAAATGTCTTCCATTGTTAGTCAATCGGCGCTGATTATTATTGTTGTTTAGTTGAATTTTGGATTTTCCCATCGATTGATTGGACCGAAGTTCTGAGACTGAGGACTTCTGTTCAATCAATCGACGGGAAAATCTAAAATTCAATTCAACAATTAATATGACCCGTTGCACAAGAGGCATTGGCTTTCGTGGCCCAAGTGGTCTAGCGGATAACGACGCTTTGGCGTTTGAAACCATAGGCACTGAGTTCGAGCCTCGGTGGTGGGAACATCATCACTCACTGACTGGGGAATGCAGGTACATCCAACTGGCAGACGAGTCCTAAATAGGATGAAATGAGCGTTGTTCTGGATTCCACTGCTAGTCACCATTTACCAATTAACCAACTGTTGTTGGTTGGTTATTTTCATCACCTTCGTTTTATGTTATATTCACTTGAAGTTCTGTCTTCGATACTACCTCTAGTATTATGTTGGTTTTCACCTGTCGATCGCCGAGTTTCTATGACACACTGAACATTAATCATCCGTGAAATCCTGATCTTTCAGAGTGTTCTTATCGGTTCAACATACTGTTGTCTTGTCGCTATTTCTCCTGAGTCTTCTGCATATTCCAGTCTACTAAAATCAAGAATATCATCGATGGTAATAGGACTGACTGTTGATATTGATTGGTGCTGTATGTTGGCGCTGTTGGTTGGTTATCTTCGTCCCCTCCGTCCGCATTCTCTCTGTTCACCTGGTGTCTTGTCTTCACTGCCTGCATCTTCAGCCAGCTTTTTGCTTTTCACATGCAAGCCTATCTATCTATCTCCTGTGAGAAGTACTGAGATTAAGTCGAGTGCTAGGTAAGGAGGGGAAATCAATCGACGAGGCTGTGAAACTATATCGGCTGAGATGGTTAGGATATGTGTTACGCAAACATGCATAGCCATCACCTTCCTCGATGAGAAATGTTAGCTGGCATAGGGTGAGGCTGGAAAAGTGCCAGTGGTGGTCAAACGAAAACATGGTTTCATAAGTCAATGAAATCCACAACAGTTAGTTTAAGCCAGCCAGCCACGTAGGAAGGTGTAGACTTCCTGACTGGCTAGTTGGGATTCTCGGGATGGTGAAAACCAATTATGGCTGGAGATAATTGGTGGGTGATATGGCTCAAAGTCGTTCTCAATGGCTGGCGCAGATACATCCACTTCTTGTGACTTATAATATCCAATAAAACTATATGGCTCTTCGATATTTCTATTGTTTTTACCTCATGTCTCTGTTTCTGTCTCTATTTTGCATTTCTTCTACTTTCTTGTGTTGCTTTGTGTTCTACAAGGAGTGGAGTGTGGCGACTTGAACTGCTGCACATCGGTGCAAATTTCTATGTTGAAAACAGACAGACCTGCAAGTCTTCGAGTTTGTGTGACATCAAGCCTTAATCATCTCCAAAATCTAAATCTTCTAGAGTCTTCTTATCGGTCAGTGCAGCGTATTCCTGACTCTTCGCCCCCAACAGTTTGACGCATAATCCAGTCCACCACAATTAAGAATATCATCAGTGATAATAGGACAGGCAGCCAACCAGGTTGTCTTACTCCTGTATTCAGTTCGAACGTCTCGCTGAGTTTTCCATTATGGATCACTTGACGCATGGGGCATTGTCATATAGCCAGCTATTGAATGAATGAAGATGACATAAAAAATATCTGCACATAATTTCTAACGATAACACGAGGGTAAACAAAATCTAGTTAGTGGTCATATTGTGTTAATGGCATTTTGGAAACAAAGAAAAACCGCTAGAAAATTAGATACAACCTTTGATATCACAAAGTTTATAAACAGATTGTCCTTAAATGCATATATAATAAATATATGGATAATAGTTAAAGTATACAATTGTTATTGGCAAATATTAGTAATTGTTTATGCAACCTGAATTCATTGATATAAAAATGTCAAGAGACGACATAGGTGTACGTGTAATTGTGGTGAGAGCTGATTGAAAGCCAAAATTGTAGACAACAATTTACGTCCCAAGTCGGGGTCATGAGAAGAAAATAATGATATTATTATTATTGTTTCCCTTAATTCCCAGAGGAACATAGGGCTTCAGCCGTTCTCTGCTAGAGTCTTCACCTGGATCCAAGTCTACCCACATGCTTTCATCTCCTCTTCACATGACCTCCTCCAAGTCACCCTCTCACTGACGACCAACTCGCCGCTTCCCTTTCGGGTTCCACTCGAGCAATGGCTTGTCTAGTGATGTCACTTGATGATTTCCTCAGAGTATGGCCAATCCATCTCCATTTCTTCCTGCCTATTTGTTTCACAATTGGTTCCTGGTTTGTTCGCTCCCAGAGATCTCTGTTGCTGATCTTTTC